CTTCTTCCTTTTCTTTTGGAATTTTGACGCTATCCCCCTCTGGTTGATCGATAAAGTTATGTATGTCTCGGCTCTGGATTTACGATGAATGATTGAGGATATTTTTGGCGCCTTATTGATTGCCATGTGGACTGACGGGCTCAACCCGACTAGGTGCCGGCCTCCCGTATCCCCACCTCGCCCCTTTCCGTATAACGAGGAAAGGACACGTGTGTGTGAGTGGGACGTACGAGAAGCCATTGCAAAGATCGGTGGGCGAGATTACTTCCCTCCTGAAAATCGGTGTTCTGGGTTTGTCGGCGCTGGGTTTGTCATTATCGATACACATTTTCCGCCGTACTCCGAGCCGTTACTATTACCATTCAATGAGTTGATCGTCATCCCGTGGTCGGCAGTGGCGCCCCATTGGCCTAACACTCTGTGTAGTGATTGCCAACGCTTCGATCACTATCGATCAAAGGGATTCCATTACCGAGCACGGAATGAGGACGAGCACAAGGAAAGGGCCACGCAATTAAGGCCGTCCACGTCAGATTCAGAATTGTGCAGCATAAGGCGTTGGGAGCTAGTCCGAAAGTGGGATACCAAGCACGTGCCCGCTCCCTTTCACCCCAAACGAAGAGCCGTGGCTCGGTGGGAGGTTCGACAGTATTTTCTGGATTGAATTCAAACTTCCCCGCGTCACGAATCCCGCGCGCGCGCTTCTTCGAAACCCGCATCGCAACCGACCAGTTCTCTCACTTCATCAGACCAACACGGGGGATTTCCGTTCTGTCTGTGTCCCCACACTCAATTTCCCAAAAATCCTTGGCACACCCCATCTTGCTGTTTTTCGGGGCCTTCTTTCCGCACCTTTAACACTCCGAACGGAAGACAGTACAGGGCGTGAGGTTGCGCGTCACAGGCCGGCGACTTTCGAGAGGTGCAGGTACATGTGCTGGATTTGACCGGCTGTAGCTGCCCAAGCTCTGACCGGGCTATTTTGGTCGCTCGGCAAGCTGAAGTGAGCTACATAGCTTTGGCCGACACGCTTTTCTTCCTTCTGTGGCAAACCAACGTGGAGCCCCTCATGAAGTTAGGGCCAGATCCCATTGGCAAAGAGGATTGGAATAAGTGTCTGAATCTGGACGTGTTCCACAGACAGATGCAGAAAAGTAAATCAACCACAACTTTTTGCACCTGTCCATCACCTCCACATTCAAACACTTAGGGGCCCGTTAGACACGCCTAAAGGAATCCTAAAAGATTTAGGACCAGTCCTAAAAGAATTTTAGGGGAAAAAAAAAAGAAGAAAAAAAGGAATTGTGGCTTCGCGGTTACACCCATTCCTAAGAAAACACTGTTTAGGACGAGTTCTAAAAGAAAGTTGTCAAGAAAAAAAGAAAAGAAAAAAAATCCGTGCCTCAGGGTTTCAGCCAATAGGGTGCCACCACAGTTCAACTTCGGAGGATGCCCTCTCCGCACGGACACATTGTTCCTCTGAGAATTTTAAAGCTACTCAGCGAGGAGCTTCATTTTTCGGCTACTTTTGGCTGGGGACTCCTAAATTTTTTAGGACTAGTCCTAAGGCTGTTCTCACTTCTTTTTCAGGAAGTAACTTTTAGCAAAGCCTATAACAACACTGCATTCTTTTTTTTCTTTTTTTTCTTTTTAGCTCCAATCTATTTGTGGGGATAAACTGGCATTTTTTTTTATTTTTATTTTTTTCTCGCAATCTATTTCATCTTTCTTGGTAGTATGTATCTATCTCATCCTCTCACTAGTCTATTTAGGAGTGTCTAACAAGACCCTTACTACAATGCTCTTTGCCAGTGGGATCTCGCCCTTATTCTAGTATATGCAGAAGGATTTGAACTCTGGACGTGTTTGCCAACGGCTGGCAGTGCACGTGCATGCCGGCCACTACCGGTAGGCACCCAGAGTAATGATCACCTGGTGGCGCAGCTGGCCCACGTCAAGGAGTCTATTGAGGCATGCATGGGTGATTGTTCGTTTTGGGTTTTATCCGTTCCCCTCGTTGTTGGTGGTTATCGCTCTTCTTCCTTATCTGTTTCGTTGTTCTTTTTTTTGTCCTTTTCTAATTCTGGCTTTGCCATTTTTTCTCCTGTTGGGCTGTGGGCTGTGGCACGTTGCTAGTCTCTCCCTCGGACTGCCTTCTGATCGATGAGTGGCTCCTGCTCAATGTGTGGTGTTCTTGATCTCTTCTTCTGTTCTATTACTTCTCCTCCTTCTCCTCTTTCCTCTCTCTCTCTCTCTCTCTCTCTCTCTCTCTCTTCGAATCCTCCTTTTTTGCCCCGAGCTGCTGTTTCTCCCCCAGCGTCCACCGCCACTCTCTCTCTCTCTCTCTCTCTCTCTCTCTCTCTCTCTCTCTCTCTCTCTCTCCGAATCCTCCTTTTTTGCACCGAGCTTCCTATTGAGGAACGATCAGCCGAGTGGCGAGGTCACTTCTCCGCGTATTGACACGCGTTATCTCCGTGAGCTCAGCTTGAGCTCAGCTTAGCTAGCTGAATCGTTTTCTCTCTCCTCTTTTTGTTTGCCCCCTTTCTTTCACTTTCCGTGTTCTGAATGGGGTAGCCCCCGAGATTATTGTATTCGTCTCGACGGAGTTGAACTCCTGATCTGTTTACTAACAGCCACCTGTGAGCAGCATTGAGCCACATGTACTGGATGCTGGCGCAATAGTTATCACTGCTGGAGATTAGATGCGTTCTAGGTGCGTTCTGACAAGGCTACCGTACGTAGTCTAAGCACATTTTTTTTAGGTGGGCTATTTACGTCGTTGGCCATTTCAGGTCATAGTGCGTTAGCTAAAGGGGGGCTTTTTTTTTTTTTTTTTTTTTT